TTTTGATATAAGTGGTTATTATGCCTACTGAGCAACTGAAAGATCTATGGTTCGATTCATGGCTAAGACACAACTGAGATTTGAGTTTCCTCGATGGAAAAAAAACTTAACACATTCTCTATAGTGTCAACCAAATTAAAATTAAAATAAACGATAATTCATTAAAGATTTCGTCGACAGAATCTTGGACGTCTTCCCTTTTGCCCTTGAAATAGGGACGAATGTAATGAATTCTCCCATGCGTTTTGTGGTGGTGTAAGTGCCACACCATATATAACGTGGAAGATAACGTGGTACGAATATAGCCTAAACCACAGTTGATTTTTCACATTTACTAGCCTCGAAGAAATTTAATAATCTCTACATGCTAATAGTAATTTCTATGTACATATTTCTTTTATGGGAATTATATATGCCTACTTCTTTTAGTATTGATGGTTATATAAATATTGCAAAGCACGTGAAGGTTCTTTAAAGGAAGGGATGCATTATAAGGGAAAATGGACTGCATTCACGTTACACAAAGTAAAACTCATTAAAACCAAGCATGCAGCCAACCCTTTCACATGAATTCATTGAGCCTGGCTCGAAATAGCAGTATTTCGCGATCCTATCCGCTCAAAATCAGTGAGGTTTTTTACCGTTGAATAAACTTTGATTCGGAACTTAATGAAAAACATCTTCCGTTATGAAGAACCCATTAATAAACAGGTACAGTGAAATCAAAGATGAGTAATACCTTCCTTCTTTTAACTTTCCCTGAATTGATTGTGCTTTTAATCATCGGACGCTTTATTTTACAGCATTTTACAAAAGTCAGACACAGTCAAATTTTCGTTTAGTTTAAAATTTAATTTACTATTTTTTGAATTAATTAATAATAAATAGTAATGAATGTTCATCAGTTATGGGCAGTGCACAATGAAAACCGTGGCTTATAGTTTATCCTTTTCTTGAGAAAAACCTTAAGTTTAGACTCCAAGTTTTATCACAAAATTAATATTACAAAATCAATCAAACTTTTATATAGTGGCTGTTTGATTATTTCCAACTTTTCGAAGTGATATGAATCACAAGTTGACCCGGAATTATATATTAATGAAAGATGGATGCTTCTTTCATAGAGATAAAGCATTGTGGTGATTTATTTAATTTATATTTAACAGTTAATTTTACTTCGAAGCAACCTTTCCTATTGCTGTTGTTTTCAACCCACGCTTCCTTGTCAAAATGAGATTTCAGTTTCGCGTATTATGCAAAGTAGGACAGAAAAATACTATTTAGCTGGTGTCCGAGTTACTTCAGACACAGCATCTTCTGCCTTTCGACCACTTTGTTTCTCTGCTATTTAAGAGCTTGCTATTTTACTATTGCCGGTTGGTCTACGTCGGTGAAAGGGTCAAGAGCCAACTACGCGTTAAATATCTCTGCAGCTTTGGTTGATTATTACACTTAAGATTAGTTTTAATTTTACATTTCTATTTTGAGATGCGACAAACAGTATTGGCTTGGATCTGTAAGCACCAGGATTGTGCAATTGAAATCATGTGCAATTGATACAGCCAACTATAAGGACTTTTTTTGTTTGAATAAAAGGGTTTTGCCATGTGCAATTGATACAGTTGAACTTACCGAACAGTCGCTTCACAGTTCAAGTAAAGATGTAACACCTCGAAGGGACGCTAGGAAGGCGGGAGAAATACCGTATATACTCCCCCTTTTAAAGGGTGACTGAGGATTTTTTTAGGAGACCCAATCGCCAAATCCTGGGTGAGGAGAAATCATCATCCAACACCCTTTTAGTTCGGGCGCTACTGTAGAGACATTAGGAATTTTGGAAGCAGGCAAGATGAAAAATGAGCAATCGCCTTGGCCGCGAATCGAACCACGGACCTCTGAAATACCGGCTCAGTGCGCTGACCAATACACCACGAAGACATGCTAGGAAGGTGGGAGAAATACCTTATAAATATTTTGAAAGGAAACAGTATTTAATTTCCAGTTATAAATCAACAAGTTTCAAGAAAACCTTAGTGAAAGCAAGTTGAAAATACCAGACCATTTATTTCCTTGCACAGAACAAAAGAAACATTGATAGAGGAGATTTATAGAATCCAACAGAAGTTGTATGCAAAGTATATGAAGCTGCTGTATATTAACCAATAATTAATACTGCTAAATGAACACATTCTGTCGTAATCTTGAATGCTGCCAAGGATTTTTCGTTGATTATCGAGTGAATGAATAATAACCAGAAGAAGGCAACGGATAAATTCACCTGTTTTCTCGTCTCGTAAACGGATATTCACAAAATTAGCATGGCAGGGCACCGGATCGATACGAAGGACTATCCTTCAATTAATCAACTCTCTCAGGAATTTAAACTTCTGAAAGGAAGCAAAGAGTTTATTGAAGGATAACAAGGTTGGTGAAATTTTGACAAAGTTTACCGATCGTATTAATGAAGAAGAGTAATGAAGGAGGAAGTTTTACTTTTATTATCACAGTCTGAGCAGTCGTGACTAAACATGTTTCCTAATCCATGAAATTTACAGAGCTGGTGATAACTTAGAAGCTTTGACGACGACAGCAAGTGGTTCTCCGCATTTTATTTGCAAAAAAGAGCATTGGCAGTTGGAGGTGCATTTGAAAAGCCGATAACAGGTTTTCCAATATCATGGATCATTGCTTGCGACAATTTAATAAGATCTTTTGAGACGTTACGTCGAATTTGCGGAGAAATTCTATGAAATAACTTCAAAGATTTAACCTATGAAATATGTTTAATCGTCTTAAGGTCGCAAGTGTTATTAAATAAACAGTTTTCTAAAATATTTTCCGATTATAGTTAGAAGTTATGTGCATATAAATTAAGGTGTTAAGTTCTGGCAAAATTAATAAAAAATGGATTTAAAAAATTAGGCAACATTTCAACTTTGGAATTTTTTTTACTTTTACGAAAAAATTGAGAGCATTTTGAAGAAGGTACACATAGACTCATTTTTTCAAGAAGAAAACAACGCTCTAACAACGGAGAGAACGATATCGCTGTAATTCTTCTCTAATGATGATGCAAAAAATACGATTTATAGTCATATATTTTACACTCTCATGCGATATGAAACCCACATTAAAAAATTTCGATGGAAAAATAAGCTAATTCTGTCTCATTATATCAGCAACAATGGCACGCAGTTTTTAACGATTTTCGTCTTTCTAATCAAATGGTCTTAAAAGCTCAAGTTCCATCCAATATTTCAATTATATCCAATGTATTCAATTTCTGTCAATTAAACGTGTCGAAACATTTATCATAATTGATCAGAAATCGATAACGCGAACAAACAAACAAACACACAAACATACATTTTCTTTATATGTATAGATTTTGTAAAACTTACAAATTTTTGATGAACAGACTTTACGAAAGCGAGCAGTAGCAACACGTTTCGAAATAAAGCATTTGTATCTCCAACGCGCGAGACTGTTGCCACTCGGAAAAATTAGTGCAAAAATTAGCGCTTTCAGAGTTTTTATTTAATATTTCGGCTGATTATAGTCGTACTAAGATGGAATAGCCGAAATGGCTTCCCACGAATTTTTGTAATCGGGAATAATGTATTTAATGTTTGGCAATGTTTTTTTATTACATCATAAAATTTAGAAATTTTTATTAACAAATTCTAGGATTTAAAAGCGAGCAGGGACAACAACTTTCGAAATAAAGCAGATTTTCATCTCGAGCTTGCGAGACTGTTGCCACTCGGAAAAATGAAGGCGAAAATTATCGTTTTTTCGAGTTTTTAATTAATATATCTGATTTCAGCTAATTGGTTTTTGGAAAAAAATAGACGTTGACCTTTTCCAGGACCCAGAAAAGAATTATAGACTGTTTGGTGACGATAGCTCTAGTAATGACTGAGTTATTAGAGGACAATGAAACACACAAGACTTTTTTCTTTATATATATAGATTACGAATTATTTAAAATGACATCTCTATGTGGTAAATAACAAATATCATTAAAATGTGAGAAAGTAATTAATAAAAAAGTAAAGAATAAATATAATAAAAAGTAAAGAAGAATAAAAAAAGTAAAGAATCTATACAATTTGATGGAAAGGAAGACAATAAATGCAAATGAATTGCTTGCATATTTATATCTGAGAAGGCCACCTTAATACCTCAGTTTTCTGAAAGTACAGTATCCTCACTGTAACTGTAGCTTCTTCATACATTGCTACTTGTATGAAGCAGCTGCTTCTGTGAAGCATAAAATCATAAGCCGCTATTTTCCAACAGAGTAGCCACCAAGCTCGCTGGACTAAACCCGTGGGATTTTTGGCTTTGGGGATACCTGAAGAATGTGGTTTATGGGTGGATGTGGAATATGGCCGACTTGAAGGCAAGCATCACCCACCACATTCATAGCATCAGCACAGATAGCCTCTGAACTGTGGTGGAACATGCCGTTTTGCGCTTCCAACTAATAGCGGAACAAAACGGAGGCCATATCGAACAATCTATGTGTCAATCATCCGCAAGTGTTTGTTTTATGAAGCTCTTCCTTTTTCTCTTGTCACTATCATTGTTTTCGCTGTACACACGTATTCTTTAAACTGTTCGCTGTGAACACGTCTTTTCGCCTATCCTAAAACCTTAGAGTCTACTATTTCCTTTCGGACTAACAACATTCCTGTGTTTAACGATTAGGCCTTACCCCTGATAGCGTTATCTATCGGCACATGTCGGAACTATATATTTCCTTCGCCAAACAAAATTCTATTGCCTCATTATTTTTCTGGTAAAATATTAAGGCATTCTGACCGGTAGTTTTAACGTTAGAGCGTTTTGAAATCGCAACTTTAATTATAATCGCCCTATACATCATTATCGAATTTCTGGCAAGTCATTTTATTTACTTCCTCTCCAAAGAACAGAAACGTTCAGAACATTAATTTGAAAATGATTTTTACTAACAGCTTTTAATTCTCTTTTAGGCTATATTTTGTTTCAAAAGTCTGATGCACCTGAATGGGTAGAAGTCCAGTTATCCGAGACTAGGAAGAGTTACGTGTTCTATGGTCTACGTTGCGGTGTCAGGTATCAATTTTATTTGGTTGCTTTCAACGTTGCAGGAAAAGGACGACCTAGTGATGTTATCTCTGCCAAAACAGAAGGAACAGGTAAATTTATTTTTACTCTTCTTGACCACTCAAGCTTACGCAAAATTTTATTAACTTAATGAGTGTTTGTGATCGGTTTAACTGGAAAATATGAAAAGAAACCGAATTTCTTGACTCACTTTCAACGTCATAAAGATTTAGCTCTGATTCTAGTTGAATCATTAAAATCGAAACAACTGAACCATGAAAGTTAGTGTACAGTAATTTTCCTCTTTCACATGGGATAGGAAAGCGCTGTGTCAATTCACATGACTAAAAGGTAAGCCTGGTGCGCTACGTTATTTTTACTTGCTTTTTACAAAGAAATGATATGTTTAACTCAAAAATAATTTTAATATTACTAAACACAAAAGTTTTAGTTCTTAATTTAATGCATTATATGTGATTTTTGCATTTTACATTTTTTAGTTACACCCTTTTCTCCTATTATCAATAATTAAAATTAATACAATATATTATAGCTAGGACAGCTATAATAAACTATCAAATTCATCTTCATTCTGCTGAGTTGCAACAGGCATGTTCCAATTAAGCGCGTTCTCCATTCCATTAGAAGAAAAAAATTCGAGTTAGAATAATGTTTCCTAAAGCCGTAAAACGGTATTACACACAGCATCAATTGAGAACTAGAAAAGAAATTGTATTTTCGGGACATGTCATTAAAATAACAGATAAAAATTAAAACGAGTCTAAATTTGAAAACCAAATGATTTGATAAAGAGTAATTAAGACGGAGAGATATTACGTTTCGTGAAGTGTTTAATAAACTGAATGCAGTAATTGAAAAAAAAAAAAAAAAGAAATCAAATGTTCCATTTAACAAATAAAGCATACAACTAAAATAATGTCTTCATTCTGGGGAAAGAAACTTGAAATCCAGCTAAAAAATATATTGTGTTAGCTGACTCAAGGTAATATAATCAAATAACAATTAAGTAAATCCTTTTCTCAATTTTAAAGAATGAATTTTTTCTTAGTTCATAAATGATAAATTCAAAAATCGGAGCTTACGAAATCAATGAAATTAACCTTACGTAATTAAGCTAAGATACTATGCAAGTATGAATTCAAAACTTCTACGATAAAATCAATTTGAAAAAAAATGACATGACAATTTTTCTAATGATACGAGTATAAACATGGATATTGTATGAATGCGCACATGTGTATATATATGTGATAACCAGACATTTATTTAAAAAGGAGGTAAGAAAAAATAAATTATTTTACGTATAGCTTTGAAAATATTTTCTGCTGCAAATTTTGAGAATTGTTAAATGTCAAAACATGCAGTGATACCCAAACTTCGAAGAATATGCAGTTTGCGATTAGTAAGAATGTCTTTATGTCAACGATTTTTCACATTCAAAGTGTTTAACTTGTTTTGGTTACTCTAAAAATGGTCGTAATACGTCCTTAAATATTCTTCTTCCAGTTCCAGTACCACCGCTGAGAGATTCTTTGTTGACTATCAATTCTACGTTCATTATTATCCATCTAACAAGTTGGGAAAGTGGAGAATGTTCCATTCATTTCTTTGTCATCCAGTATAAGCTACTGAATGAAGCAGAGTGGATTTTGTTGTCGACCAATGTTCTTCCAGAGCAAGTGTCTGTTACAGTGTCCGATCTGACTCCAGCTAGCCATTACGTGCTTCTTATGACCGCTCATAATGATGCTGGAACCACAGAAGCGGAATATTTGTTCACCACTCTAACGTTATCGGGAGGTGAGACACAAATATCAATCCCTCTATAGAACTATTCATACTTTAAATAAAAATTTATCTTTATTTCATAATTCATTTGTGTACTATCGTAGCACTTACTTAATTAACAAATTAATTACCTATCGTATAAATTTTGTAACAATTGTTTAATTAACAAAATGAGAGTCCGAAATCTCTTTCTCTTAAACTTGTTTGCTCGTTCTTAAGTCTAAAACTGGAAAATTTCTTAAATAATTGCAAATACCCACTTGTTATTAAAGTTTAGCTTGAAAGAATCAACAGAAAAATTATAAATAACTAACTTTTGAATTTTAAAATTAATTCAACTTTTTTAAACGGAATACCAAATCTATTAACTGCATTCTTCTTTGAACGATATCCATCCATAAAATTAAGGACATATTTCTGATAATGTATCAGAATCTGGATTTAATCAACTATTTCTAAAGAAATGAATACTCTAAAGAACTTAATTCTAAAGAAATTATAATAAGCAAAAAGGAATTCCTGTAACATGAGTAAATTTACCAACTTAACATAACTTCGAATCATAGCTTCATTTTGATAGCATTGAATGTTAAACAAAATTTCTTCTCCAACTTCGGAAATGAAAGCGACTAAAAGAAACGTATACTTACGTGAGAATAGACCGAAATTTGTGCATTTTCCTCAAGAAGAGTGGGAAACATCGCAAGAATAAGTAACTAACACAAAATGGTAAACAAAATAAACACAGAAAACTAAAACAAAAACTATGAAAGCTAATCCAGATGGAACATAAAAATTGATCCAAATATAGCCTACTGATAGGAACAATAGGTACAAACCAATGTTTCCACTTGCTGCGTTTCCATTTGTCTTAGCAAAATCCTATAGTTTTTCTTTGTTCTCACATGTGGAGGTGTTTTCTTTTAGACACTTTCGCTCTGCAGATGAAAAAAGATTTCTGTTTAATTTTAGAAACTAAACCAATATACATTTACTTACTGCATCAATCAATTACTTACTGCAATTTACTCATGGTTGGTTACTTTTCCAGAAAACTGCCTGTGAACGTCTCGAACTTTCCTTTGAAATAAGAAATAAACCTACTTAAGAGCGCTAAGGATGTCATATACAGAATGTTTGAAAAAAATGGTTGCGGGCTTTACATGCCTGAATATAGTTACTAGATATCTACGAAAAATGATACTTCTCAAATTTAGGTAGAAAGTTTAAATAAGCTTTTTTTCACATATTGTGAGTGAAAAGGTTATAAAAAAATAAAATCTAGCTTTTTATGTACTACAGCAGTAGTCTTCAAACCTTATCGACTCATGGAACTATGATTTAGAACTATGAGGTTTTTAGGGAAACCCCATACCACCCTTAGAAAGATACATTTTGAAGTAATAATTAAAGTGGATCATTATATTGTAGGTATTTCATGTAAAGGCAATTAAATAAAAGCATTTTAATTTTATTAAAAATTTTAACATGAAATTCATGTAATTTACTCATTACCTCTCATTACAGATGTCACCTACCCTTCCGTTATATTTAGCGACAGGGATGTGCTTGCATTGTTTTTTACACAAACTGTCGATACCTAGTTCTGTCGATGTTGTCTGCAGTCGTCTTTCATAATCTACATTTATTTATTTTTTTATTTTTTGTTTTGTTGCTACATGCATTGAAGTAGATTTTTCTTTTAAATATATTGCTCCAAATGACGACAAAATGTTCATAGTCATGTGAGAAATTTCTGCATGAATCTACAACCAAAAATTTAGAAGCTGCTCTTGATTAAATTTAGATTTTAACGCCGAGTCTATTGATATGCCCATAAGTTCCCCCCCCCCCCCCCCCCCCACCCCCCCCCCCCCCCAAGATTTTCTTTAAGATATTGTCCAAAAATTTGTTCCTCATGTGAGAATTTTCTCTCATTGAAAAAGATAACGCGCCGAGTCTATGAGCCCTTATTGTTATTTCCTTTCCTTCACTGACAAGCCTTTTGATTTATCGTACTATTCGAATGCAATTTTTTTTTTTTTTTTTTATCCAGTCATACTTAGTTTTTTCTTCTGGGAATTATCTCTTATAGTTTTTTTCAATTGGAAACGATGCTCTGTTCTATACGTTTTAACACTATGGTCAAAATCAATTCATTTTACATTAGAAAAATACATTAGATTTATAAAACATAACACTTCATTCCTTTTGACTCTTGATGTCCACATATGTACTAATGTACAATGAACTAATGTAATGTAAAACTAATGTACAACTGAATGTAGCTTCATATTTTTAATCGTAATACTAATCAACTAGTGATATAATACTTGTCAACTACGGCGAGTGCTTTATAATTTTCACGTTGACTCGCGGGACCAACAAAATACAATTTGGTTCGTATTCGGGGTTCAAAATACAATTTGGAAACCATTGTACTAGAGTAAAAATTCGTAAAGTTCGTATAATTTTTCAAAATAAGGTAAAAAATGTGAAACCGTCACCTTTCCCCCTCGAAAGGTTCCGTAAAAACAAAATCAAACTTTTTAGAGCAAAAATTCCGTTTCGTGAATCCTTATTACGATGTAATAAATTAGAATTTTTCATTCCTTCACGTGAAATATCTTCACAGATATTAGAAAAAGTTTTATTAACTTAGGTCGCTTTAATACCTATCGGCTTGAAATGCGTTAGCTTTCTATAACGTTAAGAGAGCAGCTACAAAACACAAAGTGATCCTTTTTCAAACTAATGATTCCATTTGTAAAAAGCAGCATGCGTCGTTATTAAATTCGTATTTGCCCATTACGAAATTATTAACACGCATATCTCTGCTAATTTTGTCCATAAAAATTAGAACATTTTGCCCACAACTTAAAATTGTATTTTGACAATAATAATTTTTGCTCTATTCGAGCCGTATAAAAATTTCGATTTCGTGTTTAAAAAAATTTCTCATCCTTAGTATTGAATGCGTCTCCAAAAAGTTCTCTACCCTATTTTAGAAAATTTTATTCTTAAAAAATACACAGCTGCAATCAATTTTTAAAAACTGAGATCTGCATCAACTTCCTCGAGCATTCTATGTAAATTTGTACATCGAGTTGGTAATTAATCTGAGTCAAAATCCGTTCATGTTCTCGAGAACAATAATTTTGGTAATCATATAAGTATTGATAATGAATCAAAAATAAACACCTCTTCCCAATTTTGTGAAATTTATGATAATTAAAGGTTCTTTGATATTTAATGTATTGCAAAAACTTTGTTTAGAATGTATTGAAAAGTAAACTAAAAACAGTCTAAATTCAATTTTTTTCTTATTATTTAGTTCAGTTTTAAAATATTTAACATCTGTATTTAGAAACACATTTTAAACCGAATGATTTGAAGCGCAATAAAATGCAAAGTTGGCAATTATTTTCAATCATAAATCCGTTTGTTTTGATGTCTTGTTTAATAAAGCTTTCAAACCTTTAGCAATTATTTAAATTTATGAAACTCTTCAATCTATTATAATGCTTTGCTCTGTAGATCGGGTTTGATTACTTAATAGGTTACTTCATTACAGTAGAACACACTAAAGTTATCTGCCTTCAGCAGAAAGGACTACGTAAATGTTTTATAAAAAAAATTGCTTTGTATATACCTTAGACAGGTGAAATTTATTGAAACTTCATGTAGACAACCTGTCAGCCATCAAGAATAGAACCTGCAGCAAATAACCAATGTTTGGTGACCTCACCTACTTGTCCACTTGCCGGCTTTTGTAGACATTAATTGAGGATTGATTAAATAAGCTTTGAATTCTGCAACAAAAGGGGGCAGAAACTATGCAGTGCATTTCCATTAGCACTAATGCGAAACTAACTAGCTGAATCGGGTTCGCAATCGGATCCGTAAAGAAACTAACAGTGTTCAGTTATTTATTCTCATTGACTACAATCCTGTCCTGATGATGAATGGAACTATATTAGAGAAAAAGAAAATATCTCATAAAGAATGTATTTTATACTAATTTTAAGATTAAAAAAAGTAGGAATGAAAAAGAATTAAAATTGCAACATTCCAGTAAATTTTTAACACGATTAATTATAGTAAAACATTCCAAAACTATCTGCATAGAAAGACTGATTTAGTGAAAAAAATTTATTGCTCTTATTGGCATTATACGTGAAGAAAATTGTGAAACACAATTGTGAAAAACTACAGCTAACTTATTCAATAGACAAAACCCGAATCCGAAATGACCTACCAGAGCTTGCTATTGGAATCCCAGCCCGCATAGGATTTGTTTTTCAATAGTAGTCTAAAGACTAATAATGAATATACTGTGTAACCTCAATATCTCGAATCTCTAAATTTGCTAAAAATAAAATTATTTCCTACATTCTCAACATTAAATTATTTTCGTGCAGCTAAATCAGAAAACATTTGAGACATTTTTATCTCGAATTCCCAATTCCCATGTAGGATATGTTTTCAAAACAGTGGAAAATTATTAAAAATAGATTAAATCTTGAAATTTCCTTCCATGTTTCATGAAAGTAGAAATCCAGTAACAACACGAGAAACTTTATCAGATGCCAAAATTGTTGCAACTATAAAATCTCTTACAGAAGAAAATAATAAAGCAGAACTACTGAAAATTTATAGAAACGTGATGCAAAAGATGGAAAAGCTGTTACATATTTCGTACCTTTATTTAAAGCCCTCTAAAGCACTGGTTTTGAATTATGTACCACAATGACTGCTTTATAAAAAGTTCTTCAGTCCCGTAAAAGAACTACATTTTTTAATGCATTTATTACTACGTCGTGTTACATATTTGACTAATTAGCTTTATTTAGACCTTAATAAAGCTTATACGTTTAATTTACAAGCTTTAATATTAAAATTAAACATTGCCAGCATTTCTTACTTGTAATAACTTGTGTTCTACATCAATAATTTTGCATTCTTTATTCTTTTAAAATATATCAAAAGTTAATATCTTACTATCTCGAAAA